AGAGGTTGGGGAGGGGTGTTGCGCGGCGGAATCGAGCATCCGCCGCGGCTCTGAAATCCCGAAGACAGCCCACACCGTTGATCCTTTGCGCACACGAGAACTTACGAGAGCTTTGGCAAGCCCTCGCGATCGTGGCCCTCACCCCACGCGTTTTCGAAAACGCGTTTCGACCGCGTAAACCCTCTCTCCTCCCCTCCCTCCTCCGTTTAACCGGAATTCACGCGAGATGTAGCTGTATTATACGACATTCGTATACACACGCAGGCGGTGGCCAGCAGCGAGAGAAAAGAGAGCGAGACGCAGAGCGGGGGGTTGAATGAACGGGCGGAAACGAAGGTGAGCCGTGTTCAATTGGGAGGAGTTGTCCGGTGGAGAGAAGGGGGGAGGGGAGGGGTTCGCATACCGGATGCAAATCGGCCTACGGGAAGAGATATGCAACCGGACGACCGCAGCGCAGTGCGGCAGAGCAGCGTGTGCATTGGAATGCAACCGGCTGGTTGCAATGGCAAAGGTAATAATTGATATATAGCGATGGCATTGGCCGCTGACAGCCGCTAACCCGGCCGAATACGGATGACACCCGGTAATCCTCACTCTCATACCGGTTAGTGTCCACCTATATTCCGTGGCGTCCCATTTCCCATTCCCATGGCGTGTAAGCTCGGCCTCTCTATCTCTCTCTCTCTTTCTCTCTCTCTCCCCTCGCTTGTCCCTCCTCCTCCATCCTCCCCTCTCTCTGTGCACGCTTTACGCTTACGTACGCGTGTGCGTGTTTTCCACCTCGCTCCAACTCGTCCTATTCCGTACGTCCTCCTCTCTGTCCCTCCACCAGATGTGTTCACCGACGACCGACGACGACGGCGATGGCGTGTGTCGGTTGCGAGGGTGGCGAAAGAGGGAAGAACTGATGGTGGACGGACGTGGGTGGGATAGGGACGGAGAGAATGCACCGAGTGTAGGGTGAGAGGGACGAGAGGAGGGGCAAGGGGAGCGTACTCGAAACACATAGAGAGAGAGAGAGAGAGAGAGAGAGAGAGAGAGAGAGTGGTTGGCGGAGGAGGTTGCAGCGTAGAGAGAGAGTCCCGTGCAACGACGCCGCCACGCGGTGTGCGGTGCAACCATACTAATCCGTCGATGGATTTATGGTCTTAATCACCGGCGGATTATCTCGGACAGCCGCGCTCTGCTGCCACCGACCGAAACATACGCCTGCCTCTTTGCAGATAACTGTATACCTGTATACCTCTCCTCCCCTCTTATGCATCTCCTCCTCCCTTACTTCCGTACTTTCTACCTTGTGTAGAAAGCATCTTCCACCTTTGCATCTTCCTTCTTACATCCGGATTCCAATACTTTCGCGTCTGGATTCTGGTTTTCGTTCTCCTCCAGGGGGAGGAAAGAGAAAGAGAGAGAAAGAGAGAAAGAGAGAGAGACTGGATACATTGGATGGCACGAGGACGACGAGGACGAAAAATCGAATCCGTCGAATGGATAGAGGCAACGAGATTTCTTATTCATTGGTTTCCGCAAATTGATGCGGAGAGGCTGGCTTACGGTGGCGTGTTATCGGGGAACGGATATTTCGCGCCCGGAACCCGCGACTCTGTTGATTCCAGCGTGAAATATAAGAACGATACAGAGGGTGGATCGAAGAAAGATATACCGATGAAACGATTTCTATTTTTTCCTCTTTTCTTTTCTTTCCTCTTCCTTTCTTTTTTCTTTATTGCGATCGATCGAAACGAACGTGAATCGAACATATCTATTCTTTACGACGTTGATCGTTGGTTGACGATTTGGAGAAAAGTAACGATCGCGTCATAATTTCCTCCAACTTGAGAATTTTTTTAGGGGATAAAGACGATAAAAGATCGAAGTTGTAATCGTACGATACAACGTTTTCTCTGTTTTTGAAAACGGAGGAAAAAAGGAACGAGATTTTTAGGCCTCGTGATTATTGGTTGTTGGTACGCATTGAACGATCTCAACTCAGATCGCGAACCGCCATTCAGATATCGTTCGAAATTCCCAGCAAATCCGCGGACAAAATAGATAAGCTTTCGCGCATTTATCGGCGAGCATTAAATGTTGGGTCGGGATTAATTAAGCGTAATGCCGCGGCTAGAATTGACTAAATGCGCCCGAATCGGTCCGCATAAATTCCGCCAATTCCGGAGGTTTGTGTCACGTAGAAGTTTCTATCGAAAGGGCAGGAACAACGGCCACGGTTCAACGAGCCCGACAACCATCGTGGTTCCATTTTACCCTTGCGTTCCAGGACGAAGTGACGGGAACATGGACGGTGTGCTTTGCCACTCGTGACGAAATTAAAATTTTCCAAGTTAATTTCCAGGGAACAGAATTGGCCATTAATTCGTTGAAAAAGTAAATAGTTAATCAATTGAAATAACATTTATTCTATTAACTATTATAATTGATCCGCTTTTCGCTATAATTTCGGCGTTATAATTATTTCCTGTTATTATATATACGTTTTGAACAATGAGTTATCGAAGAAGAACTTTATGCAAGTAACTTCAACTAATTAAATTTTGCTGATAGAGAAGTAATTTTCACAACGATCTTTAAGATGATTTACTACGAATTATTTCTTTTTAAAAGAATTTATAAAATATTAAATAAAACAGAATGTTTTACAAAAGTCAAACCATTATTTCTTTACTCCTATTTATTTTCTAATAATTTCGATTTTATTTATTAATTGATCCAACAATCTTATCAAGTATAATAAATAAATTTCTAATTTTGCAAAAATTTCTCGAGCGTGTAAATCAAAATTTAAAGAGAAAAGTTTTGGGAGGGGAGGAGGGAGGAAATGTTAAAATTCCAGGAATAGTCCACGATAGTTGGGATCCACCAGTATTTTGGTGCATGGAGTATAGCAGCGTGGCGGGAATACCGTGCCATGCTCTGTGTGGTTCTATAAATCCAGAAGGGTTTACCGGCGCAAAGCTTCCCTTGTGAGCTGCGCAACCCCACGTGACCTCATACCTGCCCACTTCCATTCCCCGTTTCACTTCCGGTCCGATACCTATTTTCCACGTCCAAGTATTCATTTCCACCGATCACTTCTCTTAAAAGGTTTTGGTGAAATCACGAGGATTGTCAAGTCGAGAAACACGCCATTCGATCCATTAATATCGATCCAAGTCAAACTTGGAAGGAGACGTGGCACTTCTCTCTTGATATAATGGGATTATTAAAGAAAGAATTTCATTCTGAGATTATATGGGCAAAACTGTTACGCGTGAAATGTCAAATTGAACAATCATGGATGATGATTTTGATCTCAGAAAGTTGAGTTAATGAGAAAGTTTGGCTTTTACGATAGTTTATATGTTCGTATAAGTAGAAGACTCCATTGAATATTATCATCTCTTAATATTTCAACTTTGCTTAGTTCATTTCTGTTTTATGAAAAGTGTTATCTGACCCGTGATCGACGATATCTCATTTGCCAATGAGTCATCGAAATATGTGAAAAATAGAATTTTATTAAGATTAGTGAAATTGTTGTTGTTGTTATTTTTTTTTTTTTTTCGATAAGAACGATATCAAACACGTAATATATTTAAATGAATTTGATTTATTTGATTTTATTAAAAAGAAAAATAAAAGATGTTTTATAAGTATATGATAAAATTGCAGAAAATTCTGTATCTTTGTGTTATCTAGTTAATCTGGAACGCATATCTAAACTGGATAACAGTTTTAGTTACGTAAACCATTTTCTCAATTAATATATTACTTGTTACTTAAAATATAAGTTGTTACTTAAAATATAAGTGCTGATATTTAAATAAATAAAATATAAATGAAAAATTTGAAATTTCATCACAGCAATCCTATTTCAACTATACGATAAAAATTCTCCAAGTATGATAATTATTTAATAATCATCTACTAATGGATAACGTGCAAAGGAATTTATATTTTATAAATATTTTATTATTATTATTAATTTTAAATTTCTTTTTATCGAACCTCGCGTGTCAAATATTTGAAACAATGAGAAAAATCGCCTACTTCTCAAAAAAAAAAAAACATCAGACAAAGAAATGGCATTTTCTGGTGACGAGCCATGTCTGCAGACGTGAGACCTCGAGGTATCGAGCAGAAAAAGCATGAATTGTTGCCTTTGTAATCGATACTTGAACGCATCAATGCTTCCATTGTAACTTTCTACTGCTACTTTGATCAACTCGATTCCAAGTCACCGTTGATTCGTGTTTCGAGCTCTGGCATAGATCTTCACACGTCCAAGAATACTTTCACAACACAGGAAAAACAATGCATCGAGATCGATTAATTTTTGCCACCTCGAGATTGTTTATCCAAAAATTAGACGTCTGTCGATAACGAGCGAAAAAAAAAAAGAAACGCTGATAACGATGCTTTACTTTTTGAAAATAACAAAAAAGTTTACAAAAAATTGCCGATTATCTGTGCGATACGATGCATTGGAAATAATTAGTCACGATACGAAATTGACTCGTTAATATATAAAATTGTCGAAAGTTTAACTCTAAGGTTTCTGATGGAATCGGATTTTTTCGTAAAAAATTTCGTAATTTTAAATTTTTATTTAACTTTTACTCAATAAATGGAATAATAATCGTTCATTATAAAACTATACCGTGTTTCGAAACGATTAAGATTAATTCTTCAATGCGATAGATAAAATTTATTTTTTCAAGTATTCTAGAGTATCTAGTCGAAAAGTTAAAATGAAAATTCGTTCCTTCAGCCAAAACGTCACTCATCTAAATTATTTACAAATCTCATCAATTATACGTAAAAAATAAAAAAATAAAAATTTATTTTCTCAAATAAAATGTCGTTTCGACAAATTTTCTCCTCCATCCTTACTTAATTATGAAATCACAATAAATATAAATAAAGTTAATGAATTATTATGAAAATCGTTTATAAGATATCGAAGAGAGTTATGTATGAAATTAATATCAATTATCACTCACCCTGACACGAGGTTCTGGAAGTTTGGTGAACAGACCTATTTCTTCCCTGGTCGACATATCTGGATACCGATTCCTCATGAACAAAGCCTCGAGCTCTTGAAGTTGTTGGGACGTGAAATGCGTCCTCTGCCGCCTCTGGCGTTTGTTCTTCTTTCCATCCTTATCGTCCGCGTTATTTACCCCAACCACACCGTCAGGGGAGACAACCCCTCCACCGGCTCCCAATTCGTGTTTCACCTCTGTCGGTGTCGCAACATCTGAAACGTGTTAAGATATCACATTCCCTAGAAAATGGTGACACTTATTCTAAGAGAATTCACTACGTTCTTTAATAAATTAAATTTAATAAATTCGATCTTATATATTTCGTGGAAACGGGGAAATTTCGAGTAACGAGGAAAATGATCGCGTGAAAAATGAATAATTCAAATGGTTCACAGTTGTGAAGATTTGCTTCGAATTTATTCTTTAACTTTAAAATAATCGCGCGATACTAGGATGAAAAATGTTTTAACGATTTTTATTGTATTAACCATTTTTTTTTATTCCTTCTTCTTGAGAACGGAATATTTCAATAATCCATTGCAATTGCAAGATGGATGCACGATTTTTTGAATCTCTTCAATTGCAAATTAAAATAAAAAAAAAAAAAAATATCTTCTCTCGAGGCACGCGATAAACGTAATACGCACGTAAGGGCTTTGACGAGGCGAGTAACGATCATACCGATCGATTATATCGCTCGATCGGTAATCTCTGCCGCACGAGAATAACGCGTATGCGTTCGTCATTCGATCGTGGCAGTGACAGGTGAGGGTATTTCACCCCTGACTCCTCAGCGGCAAATCGCCAGCTTCCCTTACTCGTACTGACAGCCGTGTGATCGATTACCACCTTTTTCAAAGAGCACCGCTATCAGTGCGTCTGATGATGCCGCTAACTATCTTCTAACTAAGACGGCCGTATCTATTTACAGAGGCAGCAACTCGACATAATATCGGTCGCACCGATACCGACCGAGTTCCGTCATCGAAGAAACGTTCGACCGCTTTATCACCGTGTTTCAATTTATTCAGTATAATCTTAATCCACCCACCACGGTCTGTAATGTCGTGTATTTTACTATTCACGTGGAAACGGATATTTCTACTATCGAAGATAAAACGTTGCGTTGCGCAGGAGACTGTTATCGGTTAGTTTGGATCGTTAATTGGTTTAACACGATGTAATTGTCTCGTGTACGATTGAATTTAAATTCACCTTGTTTTCAAATTTTCTTTCAATTCAGGAACGAAGCTTTATTCAATCCATTGGTAACGAAATTAAACGAAATATTTTATATCTTAGACATATGTTAATTACGTGTTACAGTAAATATACTGCACCCTACCATCCTTTGTCTTCTCAATATAATTATTTCTAACGAATAATGTCTTTCTTCGTAAATTTTATTTCTTCTTTCTTTCGCAGTTCGAAAAGAACAAAATTCGATCGAATTTATTGAATCATAAATTTCGCAAACTTACTTACTTTTAGCGAGGAAAAGAAAGAAAGAAAGAGAGAAAAAATTATTCGTCAAAGAGGTTGAAATTCTGAAACATTTTTGGGAGGAGGAACGAGAGGAACGTGCCGGACTCGCGTGAAGGAGGCAACGAGAGGCCTCGCCCCCGTCTCGGGATTACAAACGAGTGAAGTGAGATCCGTCCCCGGGGTTTGTTGTTAACCAGGCCTGTAAGACTCTCTCGGAGATATTTCAATTTGCGGGGATTTGGGGCGGCTGCGAGAGTGCCGGCTAAGTGCCGAACAAACCTGCAAACAAACGACGAGCAAGCATTTTCCTCGCCTTTCTCGCGTTGCATCCGACAACGACACCTCTCTGTTATCATTTGATTTCACCCCCTCGAATCTCCATCGTATCCTACTTGATCGATGCGCGAATCTTTTTCCTTTGAAGATGACGCGTGACGCGTTGAGTAATATTTGTTCAATCAAGTTTGATTAAAAGATCGAGAGTTGGCCATTAACCCCTTAAAAATTTCGAATAATTACGCTTAAGTAATTATTTATTTAAAACGAATAATATTTATTATAATTATATTTTAATTCTTTTCGTAGTAACTAAAATATATTTGGCATTGTTTGCGATTATTATTATCATCCCTTGGATTGAGAATATTATGTTGAAATAAAAATGTGTTATGAGTTAATCGATTGGAATTACGAGTCATGAAGTGTGTTTCTCGCTTTAATATTTCGCAACGAGAAGAACGTTTGGAAACTTTAAAGTTTGAATAATCTTTCGAGGATTGTACGTACCACTATTGAAGATATATTTTACAGTAACGTGAATTCTTAGATATTATTATTCAATTCCACAAACTACGAACTTCTTTCTTAATCGCCTTCTGAAAAATTACCATCCAACGCACATGCAGAAGTAAAATATCCGCCCGACTCTCGGAGACCATTAACCACGATCCACGATTAATCTAATTCCAATCGAATTTGTAATCTGCTCTTTAAACGTCACGATAAAGTACTATAAAATTTTCAAACAAAAGGCCGACTGTCATCGAGAAGCGCGACATGGATGAGAGAAGTGTCATCGAGAAGAAAAAAAAAAAAAAAAAGAAAGAAAAATGAAAAAATAATTATTGGAAATTCGTTTTTCGAAGGAAGAGACAGGGAGAACGAGGACGGGTTAGAAAAGTTGGTGGTAAATTGGCGAGGCGTACCTTTTCGGATATCCGGCCTGTGTGTCGTGTTCGTGCGGGACCTAGGTTGTGCGGTAGAAAATCCACCGGAGGGTGTCGTGGGTGTCGCACCCGGTGTGCTGGGGTTGCTTCCACCGGGAGTGTGAGCTCCGTGACCCGTCAAATCGAGCCTTGCCAAACCCCCGGTCACCTCGTCCCGGAAGTCGCCCTGTGCCCATACTGCAAAACGCATCACACCCTCTTGCAACATCGTCTAAGCTCTCCGTAAGCTCCGCTATTTACTAACTTATTTCGTTTACTAATCCGGGATCCCGCGGGGCCGTTTCCGCCCTTCTTCCTCTTCTAGCGGGGCAAGAAAAAGAAAAAAAGAAAACTAGGTCTCCTCTTCGTGGGGAGTGGGGGATGAGGACGAGCCAGGGTCAAGGCTTCGATCCGATATTTCTCGAAAATACTCTTTCGTTTCGAATAAAATGAAATAATATTTTTTTACTTTTCTTTCTTCCCCATTCTTTGTAAATTTATAAATTTATAAATTTTTAGTAGATTTTAATTAATAATTTTCGATAACTTAACGATTTTTCTTCGTATCTTTTCATATCCTTTTTTTCAAGTAAAGTATGTATAAATAAATTCAATTAGTTTTGATACAATGTAAGGTGAAACGTAAGAAGATTCTTCTAAGAAGAAAAGAATTTAATTTAACGTACGAAGCGCAGGAACAATTCATCCCAATTTCTCCGCTCGAGAACGAACTCGTAATCGTAACTCGTCACGCGTAAGAAAAATCGCGCGTATAAATGCTCGTTTCATACTCGACTTCTTCTACTTCCACCGTCGCATAATTAACAGCGACGTTCTTTGCGTCTTCTCTCGTTTTTATTTATCCACGATGCATGGCGCGATGAAGGATGGAGGGAACGAGACGAAGGAACGGAAGCAGCGAAAGTTGAGAAGTAAAGAGAGAGGGAGAGAAGAGAAGAGAGGAGGGGAGGAAGAAAAAGTTTGAGCTCGAAAGTCGAAGGAGGTGGCGGTCGAGAATAGGGCGAGAGATGTCGGTAGCAAGAAGTTAATCGGGCAGGCCGTTTAGTTTCGCTCCGTTTAGTTATATTTGGTTTCCACGGGGGCGGCAAAGGAGAAGGGGGGGAGGGGAGGCGGTTCACAATTAGTCGGCGCGTAACTCGGCGGTGATTTAGTGGCACGCAGCAACGAACGAACGAACCAAGATGCGCGTGTCACTCTTCCAGGATATTGCCAACTGCGTTACGAGCTGACGGTCCGTTCTCCCAGTCTTTTATGGGACTTCTTAGTTCTTAGAATGGTGGATGGACTGGTGGATGGATATTATTCGGGGTTGAAATGTAAAAGAAGGGAATATCGATGATTCAAATTCGAAACATTTGATAATTTAGTAATACCAATAGTATTGTACAGCACAGTGAAATAGTAATTTTTCAAAGAAATTTTCAATGGTGGATGGACTGGTGGATGGATATTATTTAGGGTTGAAATATAAAAGAAGGGAATATTGACGATTCAAATGGTTGAAACATTTGGTAATTTAGTAATACCAGTAGTATCGTACAGCACAGTGAAATAGTAATTTTTCAAAGAAATTTTCAATGATGGATGGATATTATTCGAGGTTGAAATGTAAAAGGAGGGAATATCGACGATTCAAATGGTCGAAACATTTGATAATTTAGTAATACCAGTAGTATCGTACAGCACAGTGAAATAGTAATTTTTCAAAGAAATTTTCAATGGTGAATGGATATTATTCGAGGTTGAAATGTAAAAGGAAGGAATATCAATGATTCAAATTCGAAACATTTGATAATTTAGTAATACCAGTAGTATCGTACAGCACAGTGAAATAGTAATTTTTCAAAGAAATTTTCAATGGTGGATGGACTGGTGGATGGATATTATTCGGGTTGAAATGTAAAAGGAAGGAATATCGATGATTCAAATTCGAAATATTTGGTAATTTAGTAATACCAGTAGTATCGTACAGCACAGTGAAATAGTAATTTTTCAAAGAAATTTTCAACGAGGAATTAAAAGAGTAAAATTAATTATTCAGACAAAGGAAAAATATCATTCGTTGAAATGTATGAGTAATTCTTTAGAGAGAGAGAGAGAGAGAGAGAGAGAGAGAGAGAGAGAGAGAGAGAACGTACGCGTGTTTTTACGATATTATGATTACGATATTATGATATTAAGAATTATTCGCCATGAAATATGTTTAATTACAACGATGAAGTGGCCGCGCGTGATAAAACTGAAGTGCAACATTTCTTTTTTTTCTTCTTCTTCTTGTTTACTTGCTCGCAATTGATCGAATCAATTCAATGAAATGCATGTTTCATCGACACGATAAAGTGTCGAGCAAGATATCGCTATAATATCAAAATTTTTTGCGAGATCTTTACACGATTTCACCACCACTTTATCCGTTCCCAAGTTGGACACTGTAGTAGCTTCCACTTATCTTCGAACGTATCTTCGAAGGAATTCTTTTCCAGAATGCGTAATGTAATTTTCCGCGTTGGTTAAAATCGTTACTTATCTCGATTCACGATCGATAAGAGAAAGGCAAAACGCATAACCGGATTCCTATTCCTCCTCGACAAGAGACAATCAATCGACCGACTCGTCGTTCCCTCCGTTGCAATATAATTCTTCCGATATTATTATATACGCGCGATATTTACGTCCAGTTAATTCGATTCAATGTCTGATAACACTTATCACTTTCGATCTTTCCTTTGCTTTTTCTTTTTTCTCCCTCGGGAATCAAGTAAAAATCAACGTGTAACAATTCCATCCGCAGATAAAGTTAAAGTCTCTCGAATAAATCGCGAGAAATAGTTCCCCAATCCAACTACACCCCTAATCAAACAGATCGGTTACGCGTATTATTTGATCGAGGCGAGGAACACGCGTAAGGAGCTACACGTATGGCCACACGAGGATAAGTTTGCCAACCCTGGACAAGGGAGAGGAGAGACCTTTGTTTGCCAAGGCCAGTCCCCGAGGAGGAAAGAGCGGCCGCGGTAATGTCGCGTTATCTGTGATGCCTCCTCGGCAAACAGCATCTGAGTGCTGGAAGAAGAAACATGGACTTGGGTGATACTTATCACGTAACACAAGAATGCGAACGATGTAACACGTTGTAAATAAACGTCGAAGGGATCACTCGTGGTGATCGCTACGTTGCAGCTGATCGATGATTTCGAAATAAGCGTGCGATGGAATAAATATTCGATAATATTTTTCTGAGAGTGAAATGTATATATATATATGCGAATTGTTGCGATTAAGTTAATTTCGTAGCGTAGATTCAGAAATATATTCATAATTCAGAAACGAATCTTTATTTCTATTCGAATGGAATATTATTTTAAAAAATTCCCTTAGCCTATCCTAAGATTTCCTATTGTTAGATCCATCGAAGAAAATAAAACGATAAAATACGGTAGAAATGTAAATTGAAACTAAAAAAATCTCGATATTTATTATTTTCGTTTTGTAAGTTCTTCTTCTTCTTTTTCTTCTTCTTCTCGATTCGAGAGATTTCGGTTCTTAAAATAAATAAATACAGGCCACGGACAAAGACAGTGCGAAGCCTTGTCTGTCGCACAATTACCAATCCTCGTCGTGCCTTCTATTCTTCGCTCTCGTGGAAGGATCGTAAATATAAGAGTAATCCTGTCCATATCGGATAACAAGGGAAAAATTTCGAAATTGACGGACAACGATTCGGCCCCCGCTAAAAATGTATCTTTCCTCGTGTGTTTTGATTAAACAACGGGTGTACACCGTTCCAACTTCCTCGTTCCGAAGTTTGTATATTATTTCAAGATTAGAGTTAATCTTATAATCTACATCCTGATCCGACACACGCTATTTAAGCGACCTACTCAACCGAGCGAAATTTATAGGTCTCCATTTTTCACGTTTCAATATCTTAACGATCTATTCCGTGGCACGAGATTCTTCTTTGTACAACTTCTTTGTGGTGTCGTTTCAAAGGAAATTTTTATCGATAAAAATTGTAACGAAGAATGTAACACAAAAACGAGTTACGATAAATAAAATATTTCCATCTATAATATAATATAATACAAAAGTTATTATTAGTATTAACTTTATTCGTTTACTTATCCAAATCATGGAAAATAACATACGAGAAAACGATATTCAACTCTATTAATAATATTAATAAAAATCAAAAAAAGAAAAAGAAAAAATAAATTTTTCTAATAAGTTCGATTCGATTCACGTAGAACGTTATGACGTTCGAAGACAAACACCTATTACGATTCCTTCCTATTTATTTCGTTCGATATATTCTCCAATATATAGTTTCCCACGAGATCTCCTGCAGAGTTCTTCGAGGCTTAACGTGTCGTATCGTTTGACGGTTCTACCGTTCGTTGGGTTCGTGGCAGAGTTACACGAGACGTGAAAGCGGAAGATCTCGAAGGGAAACGTGGCCAAAAACTACCCTACCCTTTCCTGTCAAACATTCGACATCCATATTGGTCAGTGGCTCGAGGATGAACCTCGTTCTCGCCTTCGTTTACGTTAAGAAGATCGTATATTGATCCCGCGAATTCAAAGAAATTCTACGAACGAACGAATTTTTCGAAACGTAGAAACCAATTTTTCTTTTTTTTTTTTTTTTCTATAAATTTTTTCTCATTTTTCTAATCTAATCTCCATAATCCCTCATAATTTTCATAATTCTTCCTTCTCAATTATTGTTCACGATCCAATCCTCGATATCCGTCCAACATTGCTCGTCCACCTCCTCGTTTCTCCACCCTTCAAATTCTCCTTTTTTCGATTTTTCTTTTCCCATCGAAAAAGAAAAAAAGAACGCGACAGACAGAAAACTTTTTTCCCGCACGACTGTTCGCGCGATGTTTCCCGCACATCGTGAAGAAAGAATCGTCAAGATAGAAAAAAAAAAAAAAAGAAAAAAAAAAAGAAAAATACGAGAGAGAGAGAGAGAGAGAGAGGGACGTGGTAACTAGAGGTCCGCGAGGACAGGTTGTAACTCACAAATTTATTACTTTTCCCCGCTCGTTTCGGGGGCTTATTTTATGCCAAAGAGACAAACCGGCTCGCAAGCTGAAAACGGGTGCGCGGCGAGGACGAACGGCGAGGGAACGAATATCTCAGCTGCTTCGTCGCGTTTTTACGCCCGCGGG